AAAAAAAAAACTAAAATAACTACTTCCTGAAAGCTTATTCGGACACAAATACAAGGTAAAGTGGGCATGAATCGTTCAGCCATTTTCAATGTGAACATCAACTATTTTGATGGCTTAATGAGATAGAAAAGCTTTATCGGGACTCTCGGGCTGACCTAAAGCAAGTATCCATATATTTTTCTTCGTCTTTTTAATCATTAGTCATTATCCAAGCAATTAGAAGTTAGAATTATGAATACTACCCCACTTGCATACATTAATTCTTTCTTTTATCTTAATTTCTATAATCCATAATCAAAGTAAACCCAAAAAACTTGAGAATAATACATCTAGTTTTCCAGCATTTTTTATCATATCTCGAAGCACCATCCATCATCTTGTTCACATTTCATGTCTTTCATCTACCAAAATTCATAAAGCCCAAGCCAGCCATCTGTAAGAGGTTTTCTTCCATATAACATAATTCTAAACAGTTAAGGGGGTTAGAGTTACTTGAAGCCTGACCAACCATTTTTATACATTGTTGTACCCCAATGAGCCACCTATACTGCCTACCCTACTCTAATGCCATTCCAACAATTCCCAACTGATTTTAACGGCTATACTGCCTAAAAAAGAGCACTCACATAAAACAATCATAAGATGGAGTTCATCATTCCTCCTACTAAGTAAAGTTCTTATTGTTGCTTTACTATCATTCGAGATTATTAAAATGAAAAAGAAATAGCAACTATTGGACATGCCAGACAAGGGCCTTGAGAGAATAGAGAGAAATGCTATCCCTACTAATTAAAAGGGGTTCTTGGAAATTATCTCATCGAATTCAATCAATTAGTTGATTTGCTCTTTACTATCACTCGAGATTATTAAAATGAAAAAGAAATAGCACCTGTTGTACATGCCAAACAAGGGCCTTGAGATAATAGAGAGAAATGTTCTCCCTACTAATTAAAAGGGTTCTTGTCAGCTACCTCATCGAATTCAATCAATCAGTCGGTTTGTTCAAATTAGTTCATCAAAATAAAAAAAGATTTTCAAATGCTCAAAAATATAATTCGTTTACTCAAAAGATAAATTTTCTTGACCTAGAGGAATGGATACGGTACAAACAATCAAGTTTAACTTTACTTTGTATTTTAGATTTGTTTTAAAAGATAATAACCTTTTTTGGATGATTTCAAGTTTAAATTTGAAATTTTAAAATTAAGTTTATTTTAGGTAGAATTAAATTTGAATTTGAATAATTGATCTTATCTTTGAAATCCAATTTCTTAAAAATAGAAATTTCAGGCTTATAGTTGATCAATTGCATAATGAATCGAATTAAAATATTTCTTCTTGTCAATATTTTCGAGCAAATAGGTTGAATACATTTTTCCCTTGCTTTCATTCCAATAAATAATAGTCTGTACAATCTTTTTAGGTAACTTAATAAATATTCTTAATCTAAATAATGAGAGAATATGTACAATTAAAAGAAATAAATCAGAAGAGAGAAATTTGGAAATAATGTAAATAAATAAGCTCCTAATTATAAGAAACTCCTAATTCAACTGTGTAAATAAGGAAGCTCCTAATTATAAGAAACTCCTAATTCAACTGTCTGATTTATGTGATTCTTGATTGATATCCCCCTCAAATTGATAATGTCTGATAAAAAAATCAAAAAACATCAATTTGCTAACAAGAAACTGATGACACTGTCGAAAAAGATTCTTAGTAAATATATCGGTCGTTTGAAGATCTGCTCACTTTAAGCCCCTTCACTATCACTTTTCCCGACACCTGATCATTTCCCTTACAGACCAAGAGCGAAAAAGGCATAGAGAATCATCTGTTGAATCATATTTGGTGTGAGAATAGATTAATTATTGTCGGCAACTGTGGATGTCGAACCAATATTATGAGAGTCGAATACCGTAGCATGAAGGACTTGTAGTTTGCAGTTTTGTGGTCGTGTTACTCCTTAATAATATGTCTATTTTTATTGCAATAATTACATGACTTCTTACTAGACTGGCGGGCAATATGACCAAATTCTTTGCAGTTGTAACACTGCTTTATTTCTTTTCCTCGAGTCTAAGCAGCATATGCAACATTAACTATTTCTGATGATCTACCAGTTGTACCAATAGCAGCTTGTGTTGTTAATCTTTGTTCTTTGCACAGTAATTCACCAAAACATACATTCAAACAAGGAATCAGATCTCTATTCAGCAACCCAGCTCAAGCAGTTTCAAATTTAAGCCTGAGATTCATCAAAAACCGATCATGGCAACTCACTTCATGAATAGCTTGAGGTAAGCTAAACTCTCCTTTGACAACTTAACATAGATAATGTCAGAATATTCGTGCCATAAATTTAGAAAGCCAAAATAATATTTTTCAATTGAGAGATTATCTTGACTGTAATTACTAATATCAAGTTTCAATTGAAAGAGATTACCTTGACTATTACAAGTGCAGACGAAGTGAATGAAGTGAACAAGATCGCAAATTGCGGATGAGACTTGGATCGCATACGAGATTACCGATTGTGGGATTGCGAACGAGACAACAAACGGACAGGATCGCAGATCGCTGCTGGAACCAGATGTGGGAGACGAAACTAGGCAGAAGCAGCGAAGGCTAGTGAAGCCACTAATTGTGTTTGGATGAAACCAAAGTGGACGAAGCGAGGTGAAACAGTCTAACAGACGAAGCAATCAAAGGCGAATAATTCCGAAGGCTGGCAGACGAAGCAGTTGAAGGAGGTCGAAGCAGTCGAAAGAAGAAGCAGACGCAATCAAAGGCGAAGCAATCGATGGCGAAGAACGAAGGCGGATGAAGCATTCGAAAGAGGTCAAAGGCGTCGGAAGCAGCCAACGAAGATGGAATGAGCTCGAAGATGAAGACGAACGATTAACAAAGGCTAGGGAAGACGACGAAAGATTCAGACTGGAAAAATTTGACGTGACTCTGATACCATGTCAATATTTTTGAGCAAATAGGTTGAATACATTTTTCCTTTGCTTTCATTCCAATAAATAATAGTCTATACAATCTCTTTTAGGTGACTTAATAAGTATTTCTAATCTAAATAAAAAGAAAATATGTACAATTAAAAGAAATAAATCAAAAGAGAGAATTTTGGAAATAATTTAAATAAAGAAGCTCCTAATTATCGGAAACTCCTAATTCAGCTGGCTGATTTCTGTGATTCTTGATTGATACTTCTAGTGCCCTGTTTGCTGAATTCCAATTAAACTTGTCTATCTTCCTCACTCTGGGACACTCACCCACTGCCCAAGTGTTCTCTCTCACTTGACTACATAAGTCAATCTCATATTATTATTCTCTTTACTGACAGTAATAACCGAAAATAACTAAAAAACTGAACGTTGAAAAGGGAAGGCTGACAAGGCTGGTACAGGCATTTATAACCTGACATGTACCACAGCCACATGTGACATGGAACTAGCCCAACTTATGTCATCGCTATCATCATTAGCCTTATCCAACAATAGATATCCGGCTTTGTAAGTCTTTCATTCATTCAGCTAGAATGTCCCACCGACCAATAAAATCTCTGTTGTGAAGTAAAAGGTAAATAATAAAATCCAATTATCATCCTCTTATGTCATAAATACTAATGTCCTAGATCAAAAAAACTTCTATAAATCATCTAACAATGTTATAGGCAATAAATTTCTCATATTGATACCAGCGACAACCTGAAAAAGAAAATATATGAATCCCTCAAATCAATAACTCCAAAATCTTCAAAGAATAAAGAGTGTAAAAAGTAAATGAGATACCTAAAAATGCAGAGTTGAAATGATGAATTTATGAAGACTTATGCCATATTGAAGTCTGACATTCCCATGATTTGAACCCATAAATTTCCATTCAACAGACAAACTACCTGGCCATTAATTCAATCTTGCCTCCTAAACCTCAAAAACATAATTCAGTTAATAGTTGTAGTCAATTCAATTTGATTTATGACAATTTAGTTATTAGATTATATTTAAGGGAAGAAAGGGAAAATTGATGTTTAGAATAGTATATACCTAATTAAAATGTCGACTTAAAAAAAAGGATAAGCAAATTATATGAAAGCTAATTATATATAAATAAATTGCAAAATCATTTCTGTAAGAACATTTGCAGATAAAAAAACCTGCTCCTCTTCCTTGGACATGTGTTGATTCAGTGATGTCTTAACAGCTCCAGTACGTGATGCAAATTCTCTCCAAAATCTATCGTCACCTTGTATGTTTGATCCTAGTAGATCGAGCAATTGACAAAAGAGGTCGCTTTCTCCTTCATGCTCAAGAGAATATGTCCTAGCTACATTCTTCACCCTGATATCAAGAGCTGGAAAAATAACCTGGCAAGTGTAAATAGAAATTTATCAAAACCTAAATAAATTTCAATTTTCTCGGAAGTTTTAGTTCTTACAAGGCTTACCAAAATAATTGCAAATTTTACTCTAAAAAAGTGAGTTTATTTATATTGTTCTTACCATCACTACTAAGGTTGCATAGGGCTGCGAGACAACTGATTGTCAAGAGGTCATAATAGGCAATTTATAGTACTACATAAACGTATCAACTAAGGGGGTAGAAACAAGGTCGAAGCACAAACTGCTTTCCTACAAGAACCAACAAATTTAAGCAGAGCGAATTACTCGATTGCATAGCATTTTCATCAAGAGTATACAACCCAAAAAACACATGTTGCACAATATTTTCTAATCACTTAAATCAAGACTTTGATTGCTTTACAGTATAGCAGTCTTATGCCAAAAAAAAAATAATAATGATAATAGAGCCGGATAACTTCATAAGCTCACAGCACAAATAAAAATGATAATACAGCCGGATAACTTCATAAGCTCACAGCACAAATAAATGGATATTTTCAAAAGTATGTTACCTCAGAAAAATCTATTTATGTCGTAGGTTTTATGCTGATTAGACAATATTTTCAGAGTATTCCAAAAATGATTAGCTTATAAATAGCAACACTAAGTTTTCCATACAAGAAGTTAACGTATGATTTCTAAAATGATGAAGGAATATGCAGAACTACAGCAACACTGAATAGCATTATATCCAGAGTTTTTATGAAAGCCAAAAAGTAGAAAATCAAACTTGAACAACTTCTATTCAATGATACATCAATCCCTAAATCCAACCATTAAACATTAACAGCCAGGATTCAAGTTGGTTGAAGTGGAGGAATGCATCAAGCCTATTGTGTGATAGAAAAGTATCACTTAGACTTGAAAGGATAATTTTATAAGATTGTGGTGACACCTGCAATGCTTTATGGCACAGAATGTTTGCCTTTAAAGAGAAGTATAAAACAAAGTTAAGCATAGTTGAGATGAGAATGCTTAGGTGGATAAGTGGTTTCACACTTGGAGACAAAATGCGAAACCAATCTATCCGTGAAAGAGTTAGTGTAGTTCTAGTGACAGATAATATTAGAGAGATCTTAGATGGTTTAGTCACATTAAACGTCGATCATCTAATGATCCTATTAGGAGCTTAGAAGTTTTAAATTCAACATGTCATGAAAGGCAGAGGTAGACCAAAAAAGACTTGGGCATATTATATAAAAAATGATCTTAACCTATTATAATTGAATGAAAATATGTTGCTCAATAGGATACAATGGAGAAAATGGACTTATGCAGCCGACCCCATTTAGTGGAATAAAGGCTTGTTGTTGTTGTAAACATTAACAGCCAGAAATTGAGTTTAGTAAACATTCCTAAATCAGTGAAAAGTGCAAACCTTATCCAGAAAACTTCACTTGAATATGAACCTTCCAAACAATTTGAAAAATATGACCTCCACTCCAACACAAGACATTCTCTAACCCATAAAATAGGTAATAATGGGCACTAAAGCTCAGTATAAAATAGAGTATGTAATCCTGCAATCATCCCGAATTTTATAATTTTGTGCAAGGAGCCAACATTACCCAAGCAGCCGCTTTCAAAATCATGATAGAACAATGCATTCTTCTTATATTGAAATAAATAAGACAAATCAAGAAGTAAGGACTCGTCAAAAAAATTTATATGACGTCGAATAAGAGGAAACAGCAGGCAAGTGAAAATCTCACTAGTGATATAGATTCAGGTGATAATTTTCTACAACTCCGCATCTTCTTTTGGTACGTTAGGTTGAAACCAAATAAGAGTGCCTTGCTTATTTTGTAAGTCATCACACTCGATTCAGATCGATACTCCACGTCATCATTAAAATCTATCGTTGCAACAGCTACCATCCCATCCAACTCAATCAGGAAATTTAACAGCTCTCCCTACTCAAACCTCTTCAATCCCCAAAACCCACAGATCCACCTCATTAGCAATCCAGCTCACAAATCCATACTGAATCACCTGAACCACTAGCATTAACATTCAAAACCCTACTGAAAGCAATTATCATCCTACAAAATACACAAAACAGCAAAACAAAGAGTTACCGCGTCCTCGGCATTGCAGTGGTGCTTATAGATATCGAATAGAAATCGGCATCTCTCCGACAACCAGCGAACATCCCCACCTTCATCGGTCGCAAACGACACCGCGGCTTGGTGAAGCCGGTCGAGCTCCGACCTGATCGCTTTGTGAAATAACACAAATATCAACATCGGGGAGTTATACACCGAATTGCTCTCTCCAGAAGCCGCCACCGTAGAATTCGAAGAAGAGGAAGGAACCGCAGCGGGATCGATCGAACTCACCGGCTCCTGAGGCATAAGTGCCATGACTCCATCCCCCGCAAATGGCGCCTCCATCTCCGTTAACTAGGGTTTTGGTATCTCTTTCC